ATATTGAAGTTTTCGGCTCTTGTTTTTTTTGTATGAGAACTCTTATGTAGCTGTGGAATCATATTTTTAAATAAATAATTATATTTATGGTCTACTTTTATTGAGCACTATTTTTTAAAAATAATAACAAAAATACTAAAGAACTTTGGATTATTTACCTAACAACTTCTTTCCTATTTTCTATATATTTTTACACATATTTTTACACACACACACACACACACACACACACACACACACACACACATATATATATATATATATATATATATATATATATATATATATATAAAACAAGTAACTAACCCTTCATAACATTAATTATGGACACAACCATAATGTACTGGCAATATTTGGAAATTAAGAATATGTCTGCTTTCAGTAACTTTTATACTTTCTACAATAGCACTTAAAAACTATTTATTATACTTGTATAATAAAAAATAGTAACTGAAAATGGCTAATAATTTAACTGGAAGAACTCAGAACCAACAAACTTTTGGATAATTATTACATTCACTAAGTTCAGAAAAGAAGACTCTTGTACAGATACAAAAAAACATAAAAAAAAATAAACAAAAGTATTTTCAGTCTTGTTCAATGAAACCTGTATTAAACTGATAGATACAAAAAGACTGACATAGATAGATAGATAGATAGACAGATAGATAGATAGATAGATAGATAGATACAAAAAGACTGATATAGATAGATATGAAAAGACTGACACAGATAGATGTGAAAAACTGACATAAGTTGATAGATATGAAAAAACCGACATACACATATAGATAGGAAAAAACGGACATAGATAAATATAAAAAAAACTTACATTGATAAATATGAAAAGACTTACATAGATAGATGCAAAAGGACAGATATCGATAGATGTGAAAGGATTGACATAACTAGACAGAGTTAGTTTAGTTAGTACTTATCTTTTCACAGTTTTGATCCTCAATGTTGACCTCCAGATCAAATATCAAAATACATTCAAAGATGTTACATCAGTTATTTCAGCATGTAATCAAAAGTGAGGTATAAAAACAATGTACATTTGTTTTAAAAGAATCCTGCATTGGAGAGAAGACATTAAAAGGAAAATATCTGATAAGTGAAAAGAGACTCTTGTCTATGTTGGCTTGACTTCATTTAGCATTTTTCATTCTTGTGGCTGTTAGACTCAGAAACCCAAGTTTGACTTGTTCAGTATCACTGCAGACACCACCCATCAAAAATTTTAAAAAGTCACAAATTCCAATCTAATGTTTAAATATTCAGCTTTTTGAAACTATTGATTTTTTTTTATCAAGATACTTTAGATTGCCTTTTTTTAGTTTTCTTAGCAAATCCAGAGAGTCAAACATAAAAATTTTATGGTGATACTCTCTTCTTATTAGTCGAACCCATTATAAAGAGTACTGTTGTAGCATACCTACAGATGATAATGGGTATGTCCCCATTCACATAAATACAGTAGTAAATACTGTATGTTGGTCTGCAGTTGGAGATTGGAGATTCATTGTGGAATTCATTTGACTCACTTCTAGCAGTTGACTACTTGTATGTGCTGCTGGCAAATCTTATGTGTTTTTCTTGTCCTAAGTATTATCATTCATTATCAACCTTCATTTGATTATTCTATTCAGTAACCTTCCCTTGGTTACAACAAATACATTTGTAGATAAGGATCAAAAATAGAATATTAAATGTAAACATACCTGAATTATAAATATCTTTAAAAATAGAAGTGAAAAAATACAAGACTTTGATGAGTAATGGAAACTTTATGCTCAACCTGCAATAGGATTCATCAGTATTTAATCTAATATAATGGTTGGTTATTTCTTTTCTGAATATGGCCATCTGCTAACTACTCCTTTGTTACTCATGTAAATTTATGTCTTTTCAATACCCAAAGAGCAAAACCTTTACTACTAAGTGTTGTGGACCCAGAATATGTCCAAAAGCAAACTCAAACTCAGCAATTTAGTGAAAACGTATTATTAACAAAAAGAACGAATACAAAAGTGTTGCATGTCTGACTAACAGCAAAGTACAGTAGTCAACTCGTCACCCGTAGACTGCTCTCTTGAGAGACATAATATAGTAATAGGACGAGTCCATTTAGTCCATCAAGGTAGGTCCCAAAACACTAAGTTTGCTTTCTCCTTTCAGAAGCACTCAACTTTTCCTCACTTTTAGGTTCTTCTTACTCTTTCATTTTGACTTCTTCATCAATTCTATTTGATTAGAGTGAGCCAATAAATTCAGTCCATTTGTTGCTATTATAACTGTATTATCTCCCTTTTGTAGAATAAAGTTAGCCTTTTCAGGACTTGATTTTCTTCTTTTTTTTGGACAACATTTTTGATTTGTTGAATAGGACACCATTAGAGGTGATCTAATTTGTCTTCCTATTAAAGCAGTGGGACTTTGCATTCTACCATCATGTGAAATAATTCTATAACTCAGTATTAGTCTTGGTAGGTAACTATCTATGGTGTCTCAACCCCATTTTCACTGTCTACACCATTTTTTCTTCAATTACATTTGAATGCAGATGGTATGGTGGTGTTTTGTAAGAGAGGCATCCAATTTGTTTTAACCATAAAAACAAAGTTTCATCACAAAATTTTGGTGAATTGTCAGAGATTAACATTTTTTGGCACCCCATTTCTTTTGGCTTTATCACCTTGCTTGGGGTGAAAGGATTAAATATATATATATATATGTATATATATATATATATATATATAAGAAATAACTGTGTGTGTGTCTAACTCTCAACACAAGAAATAAAGGGAGATAATCGCCTTCTGTATCCATGCAATGTAATCCAACTGAAGGATTTACTGAACAACAACAAATTTGAGTGAGGCTATTGTTGCTGTACCCGTGCTCTTTACATGTCTCTAGTATCTGTTTTCTCACAATACGGGGTCAAGTAAAACCAAAGCTTCTTAATAAATATCACATTCTCCACAAAATTTTAGATGATTTTAGTAAGATAATGAATGTTGAGCAATCTCCTCACAGATGAAGAATAAACTTGAGGCAACAGAAATGTGGATCTACAGATGGATGCTGAGAATACCTTGAACCTATCATGTGATCCAGTTTAACTGTGTTATTATATCACAGAATATAATAATGACCATAGCAGGTCAAATACAAATGGGAATATAAATCTTTCTTCTCTAGCTCTCTCCTGTTACAACATGGAGCTTCTGGAGCTTGCTGAACATGAACTGTACTTTCCTCATCATGCAGGACTTCTACCTGATGTCTTCAAGTACTTTTTGATACTTATCTACAAATGTACTATTCATAACAGGCCTCACTGATGAGAAAAGGGTATTGTCATTAATTCTTTATTGGGATTTGGCAAGAAGATAAATAAAAAGCAATCTAAAGAAAATCAACAGTTTGAAAAATTTCATTGGATTTTTTTCCCCGTTTTTGATAGGTGTTGTCTGTGATAATAAACAAGTCAAGGTAATGTTTAACTTTCATTCCCACAAAAAATTGTGTCAAAATGATGGTTATTCCCTTGACAATGCTATTACTGTATACACTCTTAACTCTCTTGACAATGTTTATCTACAATATTATAAAAATATATGAACCAAGTACAATGCAATATTTATTATTTATCTTTTATAAAGAAATAAATTTTTAAAAAATCTTTTTATTAAAAAATTTATAAAAAATTACAAAATTATTAAACTACGTAAACTGACTAGAATGCAATATTTATTATTTACTATTTTATAAATAATGATGAAAACACGTTTTATATTTAATCTAATAAATGAATAGTGTCTAATATGTTTATCATTTCTTAAGAGTAAAGTTTCATATGTTTGAGTTTCATTAAAATTTTAATCATCACTTTTTAAAACAATAAACATTGTCAATGGAGTCAAAATATATACATTAATAGCAGTGTCAAGAAAATAACTGTCTTTTTGACACACTGATTTTTTTTTTTGTTTTTTGTGGGCACAAAAGTTAAATATTGTCTTTAGTTTCTCAGTCTAGCATCTGCAAGAATAAAATATACTAAAGGAAAAACAGTCATGTTAACATAAAAAAGGGTTGATTTCCACTTATCAAATATTTTCCATTCAATATGTTTTCTTCTCTCTGATACAGGTACTATTTGATAATAGCCTCCACTATATTAAGCTTCTTGAAAATGGCTCTTGTTAACTTTCTGTTTGTGGTCAATGATCTTCTGGATTTCTTGAATGAACTCAGCCATCGTTATGACATTTGACCATTTAGAATATTTCTTTCTCTTGGATGTAGATGACATGTTTCTGCCTCCAGCTTATTTCTGACCTTGAACATGAAAGACCTGGCTACTTTTTATCTCTGAGCTGCTGCGGTTGGTTGCTAGTGCTGTGAGCACAACATGCCTTTTCTTTTTCGGTGTCAAATTAGGAACTACCGTCTTAAATCACATGATACATCTGAAAGAGAAAGAGAAATCAGAATTTTAAAACTTGATACATAATGTATGACATTACATTAGGTTATTTCCCATTTATGGTCAGTCTGTTCATGCATCAAGAAATAGATAAATGCAGGAATGAGATAGATATACACCTAGACAGATTATCTTCTATTTATGGCCTGCTAAATGCATGCTCTCAAATATCTGGAGCACATGTATATATATATATATACATAATTGTGTAATAATACTTTATGTAACATTCCTGCTTTTTTATTAATTGATTTGTTTTCTATGGCTTATCAAACTTTTGCAGGTTATATCAAGCCAGAAAATATTTTTAGATTGTAAGAATTTTTTGGAGATAATCATAATTTACTGATATGTCTTACTAATTAACCCATAGCTGGGGGGAGAAGCAGTGGATTCATACCTTTCCCAAGGGTATGTGTGCATAAGTAAATATAACAAACCTGACTAGAATTGGAACTTGGCTCTCTGATTTCTGTTATCCATTATACAAACTGCACATCCAATCTTACAGTACCTAGTATTCTCAAGGGGTTACCTATCTAGGTACTGATCAGGCTCAATGTTGCTCAACTTCAGTGATCATACGAGAACCAATGTTTCAACATGATACAGCCATAATCCTGAAAAATCCAGCATGTGCATTAGCAGTCTTAGATACCTTACTACTATATAATAGTAGTATGATAGCAGCAGTATTAGTGTTTATATTATGAGGATAATTTTTAATATTCTATAAAAAACATAAAAATAGACATTTATCACATATATACATACATGTGTTTAGCTGTAGCTGTTTAGGATTAAGGATGGTACACAGATTCCTTTTAACAGCTGCTGGTCTATGAGGCAACATGATAAATGTCTGCTTCCTTCTAAGTCAGAAACTCTCCTCTAAGACACCATATGTCCCTTTATCATTTTTTTGAGTTTGTTTCAAATTATTACTCTCTCTGTTTGAAAAGTGTTCTCCTTGTTTGTGTATTTTTAAAAAATGTATTTTGTTTGTCCATTTCCATTTTGAGAGATATATTTGTTATTTATTTCTTGTTTTTATGGTGCATTTTTGAAATAAAAATATTATAGAATCAATACAATACTCACCTTTGCAGGAAGGTTCCAAACTAGCATCCAGTTGGCAGACAGGGGTGAGCGAGATGTAATTCAACACAGCTGTGTACACAAGCAAATATAATGGTGAATGATGGATATTTATCTATCACAATATCCACACTAAAACTAACAGCAAACCAGGACTTAGAGAATGGCATTACCTAAGTGGCAGAATAGAACATTCCAGCTTGCTACATATACCAGCTGTACTAACCTCTGGGACCAGAGAGCTTACAATACAGTAAAGCACTAATCTGGTTATTCAATAAGGATAACATTAGTCTAAAGACTGGACCTTTTTCATTAAGACAAGTGGTTAGTTGAACTCTATCTTTCAAATATTGAGCACTGTCAGTCAGTTATGTCCTGTGCATGAGTATCTTTTAAGTGATCATGTATCTTTTGATACATGACTCACGAGTCAGATTTTTTCCCTCAGTAGGTTGCCATTTCTTTCTGTGGTAGACCAGTTGCCATCCAAGGCTACAGAACCTGGTCTGTCCTGCTATTTATGTATAGTTGGAGGGAGAAGAAGAGGATTCATATCTTTCCCAAGGGTATTAACATGTAAGTGAATGTAATGGATTTGACTGGAATTTGAACTTGGCTCTCTGATTCCTCAACCCGAGCCACTATCCATTACTCCACTGTGCCTCCTTTGTAATTGCAAGAAATGTTTGTCTAAATAAAAAAGCATTACCTTCCAGATATATCCTGGTCAACTGCTTTTTAGTAAAAAAATATTGTCATATGTTTCATAAGTATATAAATAGATGCATAGAGAGCGATGGATATACACCTGGATAGATTATGTTTATCAGCCTGTATAATGCATATTTTTGGAAACAGTTTTTGGATCTACTGCAGTTTTTCATAACCTCCAAATTTTTAAGAAAGAAGAACTTAATTTTCTTTTAATTCTCAATCCTCTACCTTAGTGAATATGCTTATGAATGTATCACCTGTGTCTTTAGGCCTAAACTCCAAACCATCTTTACAAGAGTCAGATCAGATCAAAGATGATATATTTTTACATTACCTGGCTGTACATGTCTGATACTGTCTTTCCGGCCTCAACAGAGGTCAAAAGCGTTTATATGACTTTCTAGAGGAGGAGTTATTTTCCATACTACAGTCCATTTCCCAGAGATACATCACAAGCCAATCACTAATTTTCCCATGGAAAATGTTCTGTTGAGTTACATTCTTTACTTCTACCAGTTCAAGCTTTACAGCTAAGACTTGCAACACCATGCACACAGAAGCAAACTATCCTCATTCCCTTTGTATTTCATTAGGAAGGAAGAAATTTTATTAGGACAACTTCTTCCAAAGAGTTGCTACATTCTGGAACAGATTTCCAAGTGGATCTTTCATAATCACTATAAGCTTAACATCTTGAAATCTAGAGTTAACCATTATATATCCTACACATACTTATAATCTACAATTTTTATATTCATAAAACAACTCCATTCAGTAACTCTACCTTGAGTGGCTCTTGGGCTTTGTATTTTGCGAACAAATGTGTAACAAATAAACCAATTTTATCTTTTTTCCCCTGATGAAGTCCTTTGTTGTGTTGGCAGTATGTTTTGGGTCATTTTTCTGTTGTATGATAAACTTCCTACCGACTAGTTTGGATGCATTTCTCTGTAAATTGGCAAAGATGTTTCTGTAGACTTCTGAATTCATTCTGCTGCTACCATCATGAGTTACCAGACCTTAACCCAGTAGAGCATGCATTTCATCTCCTGAAGAGGAGACTGATGGAAGAAACACCCCAAATTAAACAAGAACTGAAAGATGCAACATTAAAATTCTGGAAATGCATCACAAATGAAGACTGCAACAGTTTGGCAATATCAATGGGGCACAGGCTTCATGCAGTTACTATCTGTTTCTTTACTTTTGCTCACCTAAAAATGGTGTAATCTGATACAAAAGGTGCTATGCCCTACACTTTTTAACACATCTAAATGTAAATACCAGGAAATAGGAGCTGAAATTTGCAACTCTTGTTTCATATTCACCTTTTGATCTTAAACCCAAATGTCTTCTTCAAAGGAATTGGCCTTGCTGTTCCAATACTTTTGGAGAAGACTGTATATAGTTTTACATATAAGCTGTTTATTGTTATTTAAAATATGATTTTGAAATTAAATACAGAATATGTTGTAAAATTATTTGTATGTAAGAACTTGTGTCTAATATGATGTGTTAGCATCAATAAGGACTAATTATAGAAAATACAACAATGAACTGTTACTTAACGCTTTTTTAGGCACTCAATTAAAAAGAATTCTTACACAGTGTGAAATTGAAACAGAAAGAAATTATTTACAATAATTAATGTAAAAAGAAGTCTGGGTGTAGAGGTTGCTCAATGTATTCTTTTAAATGCCTATAGAAATTCAAATGGAAAAAGCTATAACAATAGAAATAAGGACACCTATTTAAATAAATCAGTGTCTTTATAATGGCAATAAACGTATTTTTATATAAATAGTTACTCTTTAACATTTTATTTTTGGATGGTCTTATGCCTTTTCTTCTTAGTGAGAATTTTTTTAATAATACAGTAGCATTAAATTTTACTTTTTATTTAATGTACTTCATTCTTCATTGTCACTCATTTACATTTGAATTCACTGTATTTTTGTTCAGTTGTCTTTCTAAGAAAAAGAAACTCACTTCTTGTCAAATTGTTTTCAGGATCACGTGCATAATCATTGTAATATTAAAATCAATATTATTTCTTTGTTAATCAAATATTGTTTTAATAGTTATTTTCCCAGATAGAAAAAATAATTACTTAACTCATTAGGGGCATAATAAATATTTTGGTCATTGTACCCTCTGGCCTTCCTCAGGTGTTTATCAATCCAGGTAAGTGTCAAGGAATTTCAAATTAAACCCTTTATTTAATCTACAGATGTAGATTGTTTTCATTCTGCTGACTGTGTTTAGAGATATCTAGTAATTTAGTATTGCTCTGTTATCACTTGTCCTGTTTTCACTGTATTTAAGTCTGGCTTAAAGATTGAACTCACAATTACTCTGTCACCAAATTCATGACCCAATGTTTTAATCCAGTTGGTTAATTTAATGTGGGACAATTTTTGAGTGTTTATTTACAATTATTTTTTATGTGAAAAAGAAAAATGTTTATGGAGATGGTTTGGTTGGAAGCAGTATGTGATGTGAATGGTTTGTGAAGTTCAAGAAAGGTGAATTTGATTTTTAGGATAAACCATGCTACAGTAGACCAAAATAATTTGGAAGTGATGCCTTGAAAGCTCCTTTGGATGATGAACCCACATGCACATATAATTAATAAACAATTTTTTAATCACACAATAAAAAATAATATGACTTACAATAATTTATGGAAAAAAAAAAGAAACAAGATGTAGGAGGTTTCTCAAAATAGTGTTTTGAGAATCTGAAGAATTTAAGCTAGAAAATAAGGAATTGGGTATTTTCTGTAATAGCAGATGTTATAAAAGTCCATGATAAATAATGTAAAATGTCAGCAAAATTCATGCAGTGTCAATTTTTTTTAACCATTTAGATGTTGATGGTTCAATACAGCAGGCGTGTCCATTTATTGAATGGAAACAGTTACAGAATGATTGTTCCTCATGGAAAACTTTCAGAAGCAGATTTATAATTAAAAAGAGTGAGATAGATAATGAATACACAGAGATAGATAGATAGATAGATAATGAATAGTGATAGATAATTGACTGAGATAGAAAGATAATGAACATAGATAATGAACAGATTGAGATAGATATATAGATAATGAACAGAGTGATATAGATATGTAGATTATTAACAGAGTGAGATAGTAAGTAGTTGAATGACAAGATGGGAAAATCCTGTGTTATGTGCTTTGTTTTTCAAAAGGACTTCTTCAGACTAAACAATGGAATCTCTCTGCATATATATGATTCAATTGATTCAAACATTATTTAGTCTGAAGAAGTCCTTTTGAAGGATGAAGCACCTTACACAGGATATTTCTTTTCCATTTTGTCATTCAGTTATCCACTATTAGTTTGATATATACTGTTTGTATATTCTATTCTTCCATAGATAACTAAACAGGAATTGAAACATGAACAGACTGAGATATTTACTATTCTTAGTTTATTTTGGTACAGAGCTTAATTGGAGGAACAAGAATTATAACGCACCAATTTTCCAGGAGTAAAAGACCTGCTTCCTTTGAAAAGAAGCATGTTTTTACCTGGGCCCACCTACTAACCAATGGTAACTGTAAGAACTACTCAGCCATTATGTAGACTATGGGATATATTTAGAGATAAAACAAATTCCTTAGTTCATCATTCCTGCCACTGAACTATGCGCATAACTCCAAGTGTAGTGTTTCCAAAGTTCTCACCAGTGAGGAGTTCAACAGAGCAACAGTAATTACAATTTGTTTCAACTGACTGCTGGCTAAATCTACACATAAAAATGAACTGGGCGGT